GCCACGTGTTAGAGCCATTTTTCGAGGTCAACAAAAAAAAATTAGAAAGAGTCAAAATTCAAATGTAGTTATTGAGAACTACACCTCATATTTTAGGGTATAATTATGATTGTAAGGATAAAATAGCTATTTGCGAATAGTATTTAATTTACAATACTCCATTTCGAATCAATAATGCACATCATATTCTCGTTAAAAAATTTGTTTGATAAAAACTCTGTGAAAAAAATACCAAACGAAAGGAAAATAGTACAATTTATTATTTAAAAAAAATTAGAGTATTCAAACGTTGTTTCGTAAAAATCTTGTGAGGAAAATTCAATGGGACAATCTAAGCGAAGGAAAAATAGTACAGTTATTCCTCTTGCTTACATCGAGCAATCTATATTTTGCATAGCAACATCTTCAATCTCATCATCTTCATACAAGATATTCATCTACCCTTCTCCAATTGACTGCAATCGGCACGATGGCCAATTGCAATTACATGAAAAACAGACCTTATCAATGCACTCTTCAAGAGTCTCATATACAATTCGTAAGATACGAGATTAAAACAATAGAACTATATTGAGGGTAATGGGCATTTATAAATATAATATTTTGAACACCGTCCATTAAATATTTATTGTACAAAGAGTATGGCTCTTTAAAATATTATTTGGAAAAATCATATGAAAAAAAAATTCTAGTGAATGAAAAAGAGTACTGTTTTTTGAATACGTTACGAAAGTTACCTTATTAATGCCTTCTTAGGAAAATTCAATGGAATAAATTTCAATCATCAATGAAAAAAGAGTACAGCGTGTTTTTACCTCCTCATTATATTATGTTTATCAACTCCTCAAGTAATGCAATAAATAAATGTGTGTGTGAATATATCTGTCACGATATAGACACACATGAATAGATAAATTAGTTGCTGGGCTCTATGTGGATCAAATAATACACTACATCATCCAATAGTTCATCTATCGTAGTGAGATGCAGTACTTTAGGATCAATAAGTTATTTATTATCATCTAAAGAACAAAAGATGATTTTCTTTTGAATTAAAGTGAACTAATAACCATTGTGTTGGGTTTTTTGATACTCAATAATTCGGACGATAATGTAAACCAGTTTATTGTTGGATTATACTTCATAGGCTTCAGCCGATGACTAAAGTTGTGAATCGACACCACGGTTGTCTAAATCTCTCACGTAACCCACTTGGGTCATTTGAAACAACCTAATTATATTAGTGTTGCTCATAGCCCAACCCAAATATTTGGAAGGCTTTAAGAATGTTAGCCCATTATCCCATTTGTTATCTGACCCTACTATTTGACCTAAAGCCCATGTCTATTCCTAAAGCACATTTAGTGTGTGAAAGATTGTTGAGCAGCCGTGTACTCTTGAGAAAACCGATTCCTCCTCTTCTTTGCTTTGTACATTGGCTTTGTGCTTTACTTGGGAGATTCTTTTGTCTACCTAGCCTTTGTGGCTATTTCTTCTAGGCTGTAATCTTCTCATCCCAGTCCTTTGTGGGCTATAATCTGTGGAGCAACCCGTGTGCTACTTGGGTGGTGTTGGTTTGTGTTGTGGTTTGCATTGTGGTGTCGATTGGAAGATAGACTGAGCCCGGAAATTGGTCGATTGAAGCCCCAATATTCAACACATTGGATATCAAATACATGTTTCATTTTTCATCTTAAATCTCTTCATCACTTTTCTATATAAGTTCTCTCCACATAGCAAGGTAGTTATTACCGAATGTGAATGGCCAACTTGATATTCGTATTCTCAATCGACGAAGTCTCGATACCCATAGACGGTTGAGAGATATACAATTGAAGATAGGCTTGAATGGGCAATTCCTAGAGGGTATTCCTAGGGGCTCTATTCTCTCTTTAGTCAATTGAAAACATAAAACAAGAGAAATAGTCTCACAGTAGCTCCATTTTCTGGGTTATGCAGAAACCTTTTTTGACACCTCATCAACAAGAAGATCGTAGGAAGCAGGACGTTTCGAGGTGTGCAATCACACTTGCTCACTCTACAAGTTCGGTTGTTTCCGTCACAAGGGGGTATCTTCTCGCTTAAGGCACAGAGAAGAAAGCAGCATGGTAATAGTTTGAGGTCGAGGAAGGTTCTTGGAAAGGGTTATTCCCAATTCAATACCAAGTGAATTTCGAGTTGACAAATTTGGGAGTCCAAATTTTATTATCGTGTAGTAAGAAAAAAAAAATGAAAAAGGAAAAAAAATCTTTTTTCATTGAACTTAGTCATTCATATTGATTACTCGAGCATATTTTCTCATATTAACTTTGACTCTACCTTCTCTGAAATTTATTCTTCAGGGAACTTTGTTTAAATTATTCAAGCGATTTGTAGTTCGAATTTTTTCGAGATCTTTCATCATGAACCCTTCTAACTTATCAAGTGTTTTTGGAAGCTTTCCAAGAGTTTCAATAATAATTAAATCATCAACCCTAATAATTACAAATTCAGATATTGATTTATATAAATACATGGACGTATATGGTTATTCTTGTCCACATTTTCAACAGATTTTCACTAAAAAAATTCATTCTACATAATTTCAGATTGCAAAGTATCTTTATCATTGATCGAATAAGGTTCTTGAAAATTTGAATTATATGCTTACGACATATTAAATCATTCTATAGAATGTTTATATATAATATTATTAATCGTGTCAGGTGAGTTATTTATAACCATATTCATAAGCCGCACATAAACAGTGGTCGACTCATGGATCATCACTCAATATTCCACGAGGCAAGATCGATTGAGAGCGATCACACTTTTGTCCATAAAAAGATTTGCTAGATCATTCAAAAATGGTTTCTCTCCACCAATCGTGTTCAATCATCAAAAATTCAAATAACAGGGACCAAACGGGGAATAAATTACATTTCCTCCCAAAAACATATTAACTTCCTCAGACCGAAGGATGATCGAAGATGAGATTCCCAACCCCTTCTTTGTGCAGGATGCAATTGATTTAGACGCTCTTGCCATCGGAATAGGCGAAATCGACTAGCATCTACATGAAATTAGTGGCAGAGCTACGTAAAAATTTAGGAACATGCTGCTCTGTCAGGTCTGTAAAAGGCCTGACAGAGCAAATTGTGAGATGGGAGTGAGTGTTTAACATTGGGGGGGGTTTAATAAGTTGGGTCTCATGTGAGTGCTCCACTATGCCAGGCCTTTTACAAGCCTGGCATATCAAAGCCAATTATAAATTTTAGCCACTCCAAAGTACAGTTTTAATTCTTCCCAGCAACAGTAATAATAATCATTTTGTTTTTTTGTTAACAACAACGTCAGTCCCAAATCCAAACATCTCCATTTTCACACACACACACACACTGGCAGGCGGACTA